ACGAGGAGGATCCTGGTTTATTTATTTTTCGACATTTTGCTCGTGTCATGACACTAACGATGTTCTCATTTAATTCTTTTAACTCTTTGGAACTCAAACAGATTCTAGATAACGCATCTGCAGCTGCATTATCTGAACCCTTTACATACTCTACGTCAAAATTATATTCCTCTAATACCAACCGAAACTTCATAAGCCTGCTCGATGGATCTCTCATGCCAAATAGGTATACTAGAGGTTTATGGTCAGTCCTGATTTTAAAATATTGCCCATACAGGTACGGTCTGAAATGTTTCACGGCCCATACTATCGCTAACAACTCTTTTTCTATAACTGGATAGTTTAATTCAGCTTTATTTAGAGATCTGCTAGTAAAAGCTATAGGTCTTCCATTTTTATTCGACAGAACTGCTCCAATTGCTTTATTAGATGCATCGGTTTGTAAAATGAAATAATTTTCTTTAGAAAAATCAGGGTAATCTAAAACTGGGGGGAATATAATACGTTTTTTGAGTGTTTCAAAAGACTTTTGACATTTTTCAGTCCAAACAAAATTAGTATTTTTCCTACAAAGTTGATTTAATGGTTGCGTAATTTCAGCAAACTTGGGTATAAACTTTCTATATTAATTTGTGAACGCCACAAATCTTTTAACTTCGTCGGCATTCTGCGGACAAGGATAGTTTTTTACTGTATTTATTTTTTCAGGATCAGGTAAAATCCCTTCGTTAGATATACAATGTCCCAAATATAAAATCTGTTTTTTAAGAAATGTACATTTTGAAGGATTCAATTTTAAGTTTACTGAACGAAGTCTTTCAAAAACATCCTGTAAGTTTTTATTATGGTGGTCTAGTTGTCTACCAAAAACAATGACGTCATCTAAATAAATTAAGCATTTTTCATTATTTAGTCCTGACATTGCTAAGTTCATCATTCGCGAGAAAGAACTGGGACTTGTTTTTAATCCCATGGGCATTCTCGTCATCTGGTATTGACCAGAATTGAAAGCAGTAAATTTTCGACAACTTTTATCTAAATTAACATTGTAATACCCTTGATATAAATCTAAATGTGTAAAATAGACACTTCCAGACAAAGATTCTAAAATTTCTGTAATATCAGGGAGGGGGTACTTATCGTCCTCTATACAGTTATTTAATTTACGGTAATCCACTACCAATCGCCATTTTTTATTACCCGATTCATCTAATTTTTTAGGCACCAATAATATTGGGCTAGACCAGTCGCTTTTACTAGGTTCTATAATCCCTTCTTTAAGCATGTTGCTAATTTGACTATTAATTTCCTTTTTCTGACTAATTGGTAACCTATAGGGTTTCGAAAACACTGGACTAACGTTTGATTTAAAAAAAAATATTGTGAGTGTAAATATCTGTTGTTGTCAATTTATCGCCATTAAATAAAAAACATCTGCATATTTTGCACAAATATTTTGAATACTTTGACTCTCTAAGTCATTTAAATCATTTAATTTTAATGATGAAAATAATCGTTTTTCTCGGTCTGAATTATTCTCATTTTTCTCAAAACTACAAATATTATAATCGTTAAGATCATGAATTACAGGATTTATTCCTGACAATGTTACTGATTTTTCGGTAACATTTAATATTTTTATTGGTATTTTTCCCCTAATTGGTGTCGCTATCGAGATAGCCAAATAAACGCCATCTTGTAATTCTTGTGAACAAATAATGCAATCGGTTTGAAAATCAGTTTGAATATAATGTATGGATTCACTTCTTGGGGGAATTTCCAATACGTTAATATTATACTTATTAGTGAAAGGCAAGAAACAAGTGTGGCCTGACTCTAACTTCAAAGATAAAATATTTTTCTCGAAATCTAAACATGCTCCAAATCTATTCAAAAAGTCTCTACCTAGAATTCCATGCGACGAAATTGGTAACGAATTAAAAACAAAGAACTTGTGATTAATAACAGATCCATGAATCATAAATGGAACATAAACATATCCGATTGTCTGCACCTCGCCACCTAGACCGTTTATAATTACATTCTCTTTATGTAATGAAACACTTAATTCGATAGCATGTTTATATGTTACGGCGGAAAAAGATACGCCCGTGTCGACTAAGAAAGAATAAGTTTTATTGCATGATGAAACTGGTAAATGAATAAAACAATTGCTATTACTACTAGCCAAAATTAAATGATTTTGTTTATTCTTGAAAAAACTTATCTAGTTGGGGTTCATCTGAAGTTGATTTTTGGTTTTCATTAATTATATTGACTATATTTCTTTTTATCCCTTGATTTCTGCGATAATTACGAAACGTACCTCGATTATATCGTCCTCGCTGTCCTTGGCCACGTGAGTTCGAGTGGTTCCATGAACTCGATCGCTGCGAGTTTCCGTGGTAGTGTCCTCGCTGTGAAAATGTTTGCCGATTACGCCCGTTGCCGCGTGGGTACCTAGAGTTATAATGAAAATTCCTAGAATAATAAAATTTCTTACTGGACATACCCATCACCTCTCCTGCGGCCGATGATGATGACGTCTCTTCATCTTGAGCTGCTTGAATGGCATCCTTCAGGGAGCTGTAATTTCTAGCAGATATTATTGTGCTGATTCGACGATTTTGTAAGCCATCGGAAAATTGCTTGATCGCTTGTTTTTCATTAACAGTTTTCAAAATATTGTAATATTCGGTGTTACCGTTGGCTTGCGATATCGTAAGGTCCACAAATAACTCTGTTATTTGTTTTCCGTAATCAGCAATTGGGATATCATTTTGGCGTAATTTTTGCAATTTACTTTGAATTGCTGCTGCGCTTTTTCTTGGCAACAACTCTTTCTGCATGTCACTAACCAAGTCTTCAACATTAGAGTAATCGTCTTGAAGACGTAATTTAGCAGATTGAGATAATCTACTTTTTAATATGAATTGAATTAAATTATTCTTGCATTCCTGTTTTGTTAACAAAGAATTATAATACTGAATATTGTCTACTAATTGTTTTACACTTGTCTCGTCATCTGACATAACAGGTAATAAAGTCAGAGCCGTTTTCAAATCGAAAGTATCCATATTGCTCGAATTTTCAGATTGTACACACTGGGGCTTACACAATTTTATAATATCCTGATATAATGATTCAAAATTCTTACAATAAGTTTGATAAGATGGAATATCAGTAGATTTAATCTTACCTTCCTTTTTACTTTACTATTAAAATTTACTAACAACTTAGAATAGTCACTAAATATTTCATTGGCCTCTTTAAGCTTAGTATTTAAAACTTTTCCTTCACGTCTACTCGGTTCAATTTTAATTAAATATGTTCTCACTTCTTTTAATTTCTCATATAATTGTTCTAAAGAAATATTCATAACTTACCACCAATACGTAGAATAGAGTATACTACACATAATTTTACGAAATATTTAATGTAATAATAATACGGTTAAATGACGATTAAAGACAGTACAACGAATACATGATTTAATTTAAAATGTAAAGTTCAGTAATATAGACTAGAGTCCCAGATTTATGTAGTTGATTTATAAACACATTACCTTTTTTTCACTATTAATAGACACGCACTTTTTTACTCATTTTATATACACGTAAACTCCACTTTTAAACACTGATCAGCGCCGGTCATACTTTATAATACGCCCTTGGTTGACTTGCCTCTTCCACATTCGTGGAGGGTTGTGGTTGCCGAAAAATAGACCTTCTCAGGGTATTTCTGTTTATCTCTGTGTTAATCCACTTTATATGACATCGCCTATAGGTCCGATAGAAGCAATACAGGGAAGTACTAGCACAATGATAGACAGCAAAATATTACTCGTAGTCAGGTGAAATTGCAATTGTTCAACTCCTGCCTTATTGCTTCCCATTGCGTTTTGCACAATTACGGTGTCTTCTTTAGTCTGTTTACCGCCCATCTTGGATGTTATTTTTCGTTAACTTTTTGTTAAACACGTGTACACAGTCGCGCAGCTCAAGATAGAACGCCATAGCTTGATTTAGTTCATCAGTTGCACATAGAAAAAATGTTCCACTCCAAATACGGCGAAGGGTGTCATATTCGCGTCGCGAATTACTTCGGCAGGGTCGCCATGTAGGGCGAATGTTAGGAGAGGAGTTAAACAAACGAATGATGATACAAGACTCTCTTTATTGTATTAATAAATTTGATTATATAGGATTATTATTACACTTGTGTGTGTACTTTTATATACCCTTACTACTACTACTACAAAGGATCTGATTATTTTGCGACTGTTATATACGAGATGATATACCGCCATCTGTCGGAGGCCATGCCGTCGAAGGTACTAGCCATTTCCAAAGTCACACATATGATACCTAAGAAACGAAATGGTGTAATGGATTCTCTTGCACAGACACACACAGACCCACACACACACACACACACACACACACACACACACACACACACACACACACACACACACACACACACACACACACACACACACACACACACACACACACACACACACACACAGAGACAAACACAAAGACACACAGAGACACACAGACATACACAGACACACACAGAGACACACAGACACACACAAAGACACACACTGTGATTTGTATTACGAGACTGCCACTCGAGAACCTTTTTAACAACGGTCGTTGGTTTTTCGAGCTATAGCTTACTGATCCGATGGACTATGTCACTTTCTTTCTATATATACGTTACTCTTTTTCTTTTGTGGATATCCTCGTTACGGATTTTATCCTGCAAAGAAATTCAGAGTATAGGCATTTCCATCGTCACTTAGACTTTATGCTTCGTCATACGGCCAGCAGTGAAAAACCATGTTTCAGTTCCGAAAGTCACCACTGGCAAAACACACTATTTGTAACTATTTGTAACTATTTTTATTACTATTTCACGATAATATTGCGATGATATTGGAAAACCATAAAAAATTACAAGTGATAATCTATTTTCAAAAATAAACTTACATAAAAGTGATCAGGCACCTCAAAAATAGCCTTTTCTTCTCCTTTCTGCATAAAACATGGCTCCGTTGGTCGGTCGAAGAATAGAAGCAAATCTTTTTTCGCGTCAATCATCTTTCTGGCTGAAATATATAATGCTGCTATGAGCTGATATAACTGATTAAATCAGTAATTGATTTCTTAATATTTTCCTATAGATAACATTTATCGTTGTACGCCGTGTGTATTTCCATAAAATAGTTTATTGATGTTGAAAAAATAATACTACGTTCGCACAGTAGGTGGCGTCTTGTATATTGTAGCGAGAGTCAGCGGACCGAATGCTCAAGGTCGTTCGCTAGGAGTAGCCCCTTAAGCTGGTATTCTGTGAGAGCGTGGTCCTTCCCCGGTCGAGCCGACCCATTCGTGTTACAAATATACTACGAATATAGCTGCAGCATGGCTCTGCCACGTGAAATACTCTGATTTTTTTTAACTGAAGTGATGAATGAACTTACAGTGCACGTGACCGAAAGTAGCTACTACAGTCCAAGGACACCTGCAACCAACTTCTAACAAAAAAGGCTACAGATACGTTGTCACCTAGAACTAACATCGCCTTACAGTTTGTAATTATACGGGCTCTCAACACCCTTTAAACCAGAACACAGAACCCAGCCACTGCTACTTAGCGGCAGAAATAGTTAAGAGTGTTAATAAGGGCATCCATGACTTTTTCTGCCACCAGGGCGGCGCCACTTAAAAGTGAGGTATAACATTTGACAGATTTAATAGCGGGAAAGTTAATTAGTTCGGAAAATATAAAGGTTACTGTTTATTTCTGAATTATTAGCTATATTTTATATTAATTAGATTAAAAGTAAAAAACCAAGCCACAGATTCATAAACGTAGAAAAATTAAGAAAAGTAAAAAATGTGCAAGTAATTAAAAAGCAAACCACTGAGGAATTGTTTTTATTAATATAATACTCTAGAAAATAATAAACTTTTATTTAAAACTAACTTCTCAATTAACTGACATTGAGTAACAAAAAAATTACCTCAGTGTCAACTAGCGACATCTGGTGAGCAGAAAATTATTAGCCCTCGTTCAAACAGAGTTTATTGCGCTTAATTTCGTTATTTTTTATTTTTATATTCCTTAGAGGAAGGGGAGATAAGGTGTTCCACATCCCAATGTCATAGTTACCTCATAGTCATAGTTTCCTCGATATGCCAGCATATTTGACCTTGGATTAATAACATACATAATTTACATCAAAGCTTTCAGTTATTAAATTATGGTCAGAATTACGTCGAATGAACATCAATATTATGTCACTGTCGAAAAAGTTTAAATTATTTGTTGTTGCTTTTGTGTGAAGTCTTAGCGGAGACTGGGAATAGAGTTCTGTAGGAAGTGTGTTTCCGCTAAGTGTTGAAACAATCTCTAATTTAGTGAACTAATGTATTTAAATACACAAATAAATACACGATTGGTATTATTGTTGTGTGCTGTCAAAACATACAGTGGACTACACGATAATAATAGTATTATTGAAAGGTCTGACGAAATTCCCTTGCGTATTGGCCTTTTAATCTTTCTTACTAATATTGTTTTTTACATATATCTTAGATTGGTTATATCTTGTAGGGGGCTTCCATAATAACACACTACGAGTTGCCGAGGAAGATTATTTAGTTTTTTATATTTACAGTTTACTATCCGTCAAATGGAATATCCCTCTATAAGATGCAGGAGCGTGAGACAAGCAAGATTGTAAATTGTCTCTCTTACTGCAGAATATAGAATATTATACGTATAAAGGATAAATTAAACGATCGGAACTTAGCGTTGACATCTTATCCTTAAGCGGTAAATGTCCATTAAATTATTATAGAATTTAAAAAAAATCTTATCCTTAACTCCGATGTTTTATTGCTGGACTGTAACGAAATGTCCGATTTCGATAAAATATAAAACTACCGGCACAGATAATCTACGCAGTAAGAACATTGCACAATTAATTTATTTGTATGAAACGTAGTCGCTCCAGGAATTGTGCAGTCTGTGAACAGTCAGTTTTATCTCTACCTTTTAACACTTTCACTGTCCGGTTTACAGACACAATAGTAAGACAATAGAAATGATCCTATACTTGTACGTGTAGTGTACGGGACAGCAAAAGGGTTAAAATTTTAAGAAATATTCGTTATAAGATGTGTTCTAAGACTTTGATGTCTAATTAAATGTATATATATATATATATATATATATATATATATATATATATATATATATATATATATATATATATATATAAACTACCGGCACAGATAATCTACGCAGTAAGAACATTGCACAATTAATTTATTTGTATGAAACGTAGTCGCTCCAGGAATTGTGCAGTCTGTGAACAGTCAGTTTTATCTCTACCTTTTAACACTTTCACTGTCCGGTTTACAGACACAATAGTAAGACAATAGAAATGATCCTATACTCGTACGTGTAGTGTACGGGACAGCAAAAGGGTTAAAATTTTAAGAAATATTCGTTATAAGATGTGTTCTAAGACTTTGATGTCTAATTAAATGTATACATATATATATATATATATATATATATATTATATTTCAAATATTTCTTATGCATTATCCCTATAAAATAATGTTTTATATTTAAATTACGTTAGTATGAAACGTAGTCGCTCCAGGAAGTATGCAGTCTGGGAACATGATTTCATAATCCATAAAACCTCGTAAGGGAACACAGATTCGTAACGAGGATGATTCTTGAAAATATTAAATTTTCAAAAAATCCTAATTTCTTTAAGAGATGGCTGGGTGCTAACATCTGCTTAGGATCGCATAACCACACCCAAGCACAAAACTGCAAGACTTCAAAAGCCCCTTAGCTCTTTTTGCGTAGATCGGATCTAAAATCAATAATTAAAAGCTGATGGTAGACCAAATTAACTATGACATCAGAAGCATTCAAAATTCAGCAATTCGGAAAATGGAAATCCTCATACCAAAACTAAAAATAAATGTGTGTGTAAAAAGAGTAGAGGAAAAGAAAATAACCAAGGCTCAAAAGAAACTAATAAGACTGATGATGACTCTAGTGTAGTAGTTATAGGTAATATTAACAAAAATTTTACAAATACCACAGAAATTGAAATACTACAAGAAAATTACTGCATAAATGATTCCGTGTTAGTCTGATATTACGTTAGGAAAGACATGGAAATACTATATTGGATTTATAAAAGGAATAAAAGAAAAAGACGGAAATAGATTATATTATATCGCTTATTTAAAAACTATGAAAGCACCCCAACTTTGTATCAGAGAAACTAAAAAATTAGATTATGATGAAATTACAAATATATCTATAGTGAAGAAAATAAATTTGCAAAGAATGAATGATAAAATTTATAGCTTGGTTAATGAGAGCGACAACATATATTTTTAAGTTAATTATGTTAAATAGTTTTAAGTCTGTAGTAGCATAGGAGAGCGAAGGAACAAAAACCCTTGTAACCATTTTTAAGCACAGAGTTACGTTACGTTTTCATATTCTGGGTTTAGGAAATGAAGTGTTAATATACTTATCTAAAATGGTCTGATGTGTTACCTATTAAGTTTAATATTAAACTTAATAGGTAACGCATCAGACGATTTTAGGTATATTAACGCTTCATTTCCTAAACCCAGATATATGAACCCAGATGTATATCTTTTGAGAATTTGGTATTTTCTATTTTCTAAATTGTATTTTTTTTGCAATTGTTTAAGAATATATTCTTTGTCCTTTTTGGTAGTTAAAAGTATTGATGTGAACTGATGTTTAATGTAAAGTCGTTTTTTTGTTACCTTTTGCTTTAGGTACCAGTTTTATTTCATGTAATGTCTTAACTGTTTGTTATGTACAATTTCAAAAATTTATTATTTGTCTTTTGTATTTTCAAAATGACAACCGCAAGACTGATTACGATAAGATAGTCCATGAAAATGACGTGATCTAATGTTAAGGTGCAAACTTAAAAATAACTAGGTAATTATTACCTACTTGATTAGCAGCCAGTTTATGACAACTGATGTGATCTCGTACTAAGTTAAAGTACTTCCTTTTTCAAAATAATGGTTCGGCTAGTTTAATAAGCAGCCGAAATTTCTTTGTTTATTTTGCTCTGAATACTCGCAACTGTTACACCAATGTTACTTTGGTTTGGATGTCCGTGTATTTCGCGGGTCGATGTGATTCTTGCGTACTATTGGTCCGTTAAAATTATGGACATCTTCCCGTCACGTGATCACATACTGTCAACGCCGCGCGTCGTGAGAAATGGCACGTTTTTTCGCTGCTCCCTAATATATGTTCCGCCGCAAGTTATTCCTAGAATTGGATAATCGTGAGTGACCGAAATCCGTGTAGCTGGGATCCCCGAAGAAGCGCACGAGAGCAGGAGCATCCGCCTTCGTATATTCAGGTACGTCCGACCTTAGTAATATTGTCTAGTTAACGGTATCGAGTAGAATCAGCCAGCGTCTATGCAAATTACAGTCCATTTACCATTTTCAACCAAAAATTGGTCCATCTCCCCGGATGACATTCGGATTGGAACTATTAAATAGGTAAATCCGATTGTGATTCGACTCTTCGACGTAATTGATACTGAACCTTATTGTGGCATACTTGGGTTGATGTCGACTATTTATACTGTTAGTTGTCGACTTGTAAATACTACTTAATATTGATGTATTTTCCGCATCGCATACAGCCGTTTACAAGATCGATTTTATATGTTTATTACTAAGAAACATTCTTATTAATCGCATCGACTTTTAGACAGCTGTCGCATTTAATTTACTTAATCGCATTTAATATTATTATCATATCGCTCCGTAAATATTTAAATCGGTTCGATTTAATTTACCTAGTGGGTAGAAATAACCGCCGCGCCTCGCCGCCAGCCATTGTGCAGTTTATCTAAGTACCGTATCGCACCTTTTTCTTAGTTTGGTACATATGCAGCGCATGACATATATTAAAACTGATTTGAATTTCTAGTGGAGTTCGCAAACTTTGTATACTATAAATACAGTTAAATTACTTAAATACTTATTAACTA